GAAAGTACGGAAAGAGGACAGCCTAATGACAGCTTATGATAAAGTAGTATTTTAAGGGCAGCTGCAGTGTGTACTAAAAGTATACGATTTGGTACACTTGTGCCTGGATTACATTCACTTCAATGCTGAAGACACGTATCTTGCCCAAGGACACAATGAGATGTTGGCTGTTGGGATCCTGACCCACTGACCCTTCAGTTTATTAAAGGGCCCTTATATGCTCATTTTCAGTTCCACATTTGTATTTTGTAACTTTACTGGGACATGTCTCGATGCNCAGAGAAAGCACGGAAAGAGGACAGCCTAATGACAGCTTATGATAAAGTAGTATTTTAAGGGCAGCTGCAGTGTGTACTAAAAGTAAAAAGTATACGATTTGGTACACTTGTGCCTGGATTACATTCACTTCAATGCTGAAGACACGTATCTTGCCCAAGGACACAATGAGATGATCCTGACCCACTGAGCCTTCTATTAGTGTATCAGTTTATTAAAGGGCCCTTATATGCTCATTTTCAGTTCCATATTTGTATTTCGTAACTTTACTGGGACATGTCTCGATGCTTTAATGTTCAAAAAGCTCTTTATTTTCCTCATACTGCCTGTGCTGCAGCACCTCTTTTCACCCTCTGTCTGAAACCAGAGCCCAGTCTGCTCTGATTGGTTCGCTGGCCGACTGTTGTGATTGGTTTAGAGATGTCCTGCCCCTCAGCCTTTCACATACAATGTGTTGGAGAACTAGCCAAAAGAAGTGCAAGTGTTACATAGTGATGTCATCATATTAGAGAAGTAAAGAAAGGAGTCCAATGGATGTTTTTTAGACAGGGGGGGAGTGTGGGAGAGAAACTCCCCCTGGAGGGAACTTTAGGATTTTAACCTTTGCAGAACATTTACATGATGGCATGCACAAATATATAACCCACTACAGGAAAGGGAAAACTCTGAAAAAATTCCCGTCCGCCCTTGGGCCTTATTGTTGGGAAATATGACGTGAATATAAATACAGTTTATGAATTGTCAGTCGTATAAATTCATTGTTGGTTTTGGTGTTTTTTAGTATCTGGTACGAAGGGAACTCAGCGTCTCTCAGTGTCTTTGTAAATCACATAACTCAACCAGTATGTTAGAAAGCTGTAAATAGTGTCTGACTGTAGCTGCTGCAGATTTATCTGTTTGCTGAGCTGGTGTGTTTTGCCCACTACTAACTGTCAAGGATAACGAGAGTTATCGATTCACGGCTCAGTGCTGGCAGTGTGGCCGGGTGATGACACAGACCTACTGTGCTACAGTTAGCGATTAGCTTTAAAGGAAATGCTCTTGCTGGCTCCTGTTCCTTGAATCAGAATCAGATTGCCAAGTAGGTTACACAGCCAAGGAATATGCTTTGATTTATAAAGTGCTTACATTAACACAGTAAGAGGAATTAATTTGTCAGAAAAGGACTAAAAATAGAGCTTATCAGTGAACAAAATACTTTAATTGAAGTGGAGAGCTGTGCAGATGTTAGGTGGCATTGAAGATAAATGTTCTTAATATTTTTAGAGGGATAACATCTGTGTTTTCTCTGATCCCCAGCCGTTCGAGGCCAGCGACCTGCTGCTGGGACTGAACTTCTCAAAGGTGCTGACCAGTCTGGTTTCCCTGAATAAAGTCACTGCAGGTGAGTCAAAATAAGTGCCGTTATATGATGTGTGTGGGAGTTTTTATGAAAGACAGGCCAGAGTAGTGATGACGAGTGTGTGGGTGATTACTATAATACCAAGTCTGGTGTATTTCTATATATTCTGCCCTCTCTCTCTGCAGATATTGGCGTGGGCAGTGACTCGGTGTGCGCCCGGCACTCTTCAGCTCATCGCATCAAGTCGTTCGACTCGCTCTCCTCTCAGGCTTCACTGGCCCGATCCTCCAAGCTGCTGCAGAACCAGTTTCGCAGTCTGGTAAGCTCAACACTCACTTACGCCACAGTTAAGGAAACATCACCAATTGGTCATACAGTCTCTATATTATTTGTCAAACTACAGATAAACACGAATAACTAAATTAGTATCGTCAGTTTGGTTTCTGTCGTCTGCATCCTTGATAATAGCTGACATCGCTGTGCTGGGAAACATCTCACACATTTCCAGCGCAATATCTCACCATCTTGTTTTACCTGTTACCTTTAGTCTTATGGGCAATGCAGTCGTATTCAGTAAAAACATAGATTCAACGCTTCATTCATTTTCAATGTAATAATAATACATTTTATTTGGGGGGTGCCTTTCATAGCACCCAAGGACACCTTACAGGGCATAGGGGCAAAATAGGGAACAATTAAAACAGTGGATCTAGTGAAATATCAGCCGGGGTAAAACAAGACAAATACAACAGGATATGGACTACAGAAGGACACAAAAGGACATAAAAGGACACAGAAGGACACAGAAGGACACAAAAGGACACAAAAGGACACAGGGTACAGTTTATAAAGTAAATGCCAGTTTGAACAGGTGGGTTTTGAGTTGGGTTTTGAATGATGGAATCAGACTGTCGGATATGCAGTGGCAGGGAGTTCCTGAGTCTGGGAGCCGAGCAGCTGAAAGCTCGAGCACCCATGTTGCTGAGGCGAGAGCTTGGGACGGTGAGAAGTCCTAAGGATGAAGAGCGGAGGGTGCGGGGATGTAGGATGCAAAGGGCTGTAGACACTGAAATCCCCTTGAGAATAGTGCTTGATTTGATCTTGTACATATATAACCTGCAGGCCAAAACTGAATTCACAGTGGAATTATACTTGGAAGGATTTGTTTGCAATATGGGGAAATATTTAGGGAGGGATATAATGAGTTTGATGAGCAATGAGTGTTGCACCATTTTTTGTTTGTTGATGAATCAGATGACAACCGATGAATGTCGTTGTCACTGCTTTTTCCACTAACTTTGATGTTTATGCTGCTCACTTCCTTTTTCTGCCCTCGTTCTTCAGGACATGTCGGAAAACAGCGGACAGCAGCTGCTGGTGAAAGCGCGTTTCAGCTTTGCGCAGAACAATGAGGATGAGCTCTCCTTTAGTAAGGGTGACCTCATCAGCGTGATGCGTCAGGAGGACGGCGGCTGGTGGGAGGGGATGGTCAACGGCCGGTCGGGATGGTTTCCTAGCAACTATGTCCGTGAGGTCAAAGGCTCCGGTAGGTTTGAGGAACTTGGAGGGAGCTTTGGGATTTTAGCCTTTGCAGACCATTTACAAGGGAAAACCCCACAAGCATAATAGGGCCTCTTTAAAACAGCAGTGTGGTGACTCAGAATATTTTGTTTCAATATGCACTTCAATAATATTCACTTCAATATATGATTTAAACTAGATCTTCCTCCTCTGCATGTGTCTGAGAACGAGCACAGAGCAGCTTCGACGATTAAATCATTAAAAAAACAGACGCTGTTACAGTTTCCTCTGACAAAAACTGACAAACAGTCAAGCACAGTTTCCATCTGGCCTCCTGACAATAACACAGCCACACATCTGTTGCTTCTCCAGGCCCGCTGGGGTCTGTTGTTTTTTTTACTTGAAAAACAAGTCGATGTGGCATGTACCAAGCATGCTGCTCCTCTGACATCAGTTCATTTGCTTCACCTCTTATCTAAAGAGACAACAATAGGAATATGACTGAAAACAATATTACAGTTTTAAGTAGGACGTTTTTTTTACCATGTTTAGTCTCATCCTGTTACATTTCTATCAAGTTTTAGTTGAATAAAAGTCTAAACATTTTAGTCTCGTCTTTTGACAATGTACCCTCTTTCTGAGTAAGTACATTTTAGGCTCATCTTTTTTCGGCAACAATATTGCATATTGATATCTTCAATGTTGGTGCTATCTTTGAAAAACATTTAGTTCAAGATAGACCAACCAAAATACTGCCCACTGGTCAACAATTTATTTATAGATTGCTCAAGATTAGTGTCCATTGAATATTTGTATGTCTCATTCAAAATAATATAAGTTAGAAAAGTATCTAAATTCATGTGTTTTCTCTCTAGCTCCGGACAAACAAGACAAAGTGTCCCCAAAGTCTGGCACCATGAAGAGTCCTCCTAAAGGCTTCGACACCTCCGCCATCAGCAAGACGTACTATAACCTGGTGAGGACGCAACTCAACACTTATTTTAATAAGTCTTTTCCCATTGTTTTGCTTTTTTACATCCCTATCTCTCCTTTCTCCACTGACATCATGTTAACATGTAAGGATTTAAAGCTTAAAATTATGCTTTGTTTTTTTAGTAGTACCAGGATCAAATCTAGCTGGCCTCTTCAACTACAGCTCTCTTCAAGAAACTCACTGACATACTTTAAAACCTCTTAATGTTTAAAACGCTCTGTGACCACCAGTGGAAGTGGATCTGCAGCTGAGGGCAGGTGTGGTTTGCAGAACTGTCATCACAGTTGCATACGCAAAGTGAATTCACACACACACACACACACACACACACACACACACACACACACACACACACACACACACACACACACACACACACACACACACACACACACACACACACACACACACACACACACTACTACTACACTACTACTACTACTACACACACACACACACACACACACACACACACACACACACACACACACACACACACACACACACACACACACACACACACACTACACACACTACTACTACACACACACACACACACACACACACACACACACACACACACACACACACACACACACACACACACACACACACACACACACACACACACACACACACACACACACACACACACACACACACACACACACACACAGACACAC